CTTTCTCAGCAACAATGAGGTGTAAGAGATCGTGACTGCTCCCCCCTTACCCAAGGTTTGGCTCTGCTAATAAAGAGGCAGACAAACAACTGAGAAATCTTCCAGAGGCCAGATGTGAATGCAATTGTTAAAATACTGCCTGGGTCACTGGCTGCAGCTTCAGCATTTTTGGAAATTTGTTTTTGTACCAGTGTCAAAGGCACTGGGGCTCTCTGCTTGCATCAGTACAAATCTGGATTAATGCAGTTAAAGCCAGCAGAGTTGTATCCGTGCAAAAGCAGTTAAAATGGGCTCAGAATCAGACTCAGAAAGTTACCCTTGTGTCACTTAGTAAGATATATTTCTTTTGGCTTCCACTTAGATTTGGTCCTTAAGGAGCCTGTCATAAGAGATATATGGTTTGGGCAAGAGGCCAACTTACCGTCTGGAAGAAACAGCAGGGCTCCCATCGAAGTAGTGAACAGGGTAAAATGAGCTTTTGACTATTATTTTGTAATTCTGTAAATATTTGTGATTTTGAATTATTCAGTAAAGTTCCATACGCTGTGACATGATGGAAGGACCTTGTCATCTATAGACTGTGCGGGGAGAAACCTATTTACAGTGATCTTTGAAACAGCTGCCGTGAGATCTTACACTTCCTGGCATGTCACAGCTCAAAAATTTCTAGGAAATTGCAGCTGCTTTCTTAGCCAGGGAGATAAGATGCCTTTGCAGCAGTGCTTTTAAGCCATTGCTTCATCACAGCAGAAAGTTAATGCAACCCTCTCTCTGCCTAGTCCAAGTTCACAGCTAAATTCCCATTGCTACCAGGGCCTGACATTGGAGTCAGCTACTAAGAGCCCGTTTGTACAACATTACCATCACCTAACCATTCTTTAGGTCACTGGATACCAGTTGATTCTCCAGATCCCAGGCTTTCAGACTCCTGGCATTGATTAGGGGCACCCAGGTGAAGCAGGAGTGGGGAGCAGGGATGTACATGGGTTTTGCAGATGGGTGTTCTTGTTAGGAAACTCTTAAAACCAAGTATTTTCTGAAATAAATGTTTTGGAAATACAGTTTCAGATCTGATTAAAAACCAAAAGAATGTTACATACAATTACAGGAGAATCTAGTGTAAGTGACAGTTTCCAAGCATCTTTTGTCCTGTAGGGGAATTTGCTAAACATTTATACCCAAACTAGATTCCCGAGCACCCTGGGGCATTTTAAGCTGCATTTTAAGAGGGAGGGAAGGACTGTATTTCCTGTAAAAGAGGCCAGTTGCAGAAGGCTCAGAAGGAGCTGCAATGCTGCATCAGATTGGGTCTGCAGTCTCAAAGTCTGCAGACTGCTCTTCCATCCTCACTTCAGAGTAAGGCTACATCTGCTCCATGGTGATAATTGAACCCATGTAAACTTAATTTGCCTTCACCAATGTCAATTTTTACTGCAAAGTGAGGCCACTTTGATGTTGATAATATTTTTGATTAAATCAAACCAGTAGAAGCTACATTTAAATCTATTTAAGTTTAAATTTTATTTATATTGTACCAGTGTAATTGGATTGATTTTAAAATCAAATTTCACTTTAGCAGGGAAATTTTCTTAGAGTAGTTTGCTCAGTGAAGGAGCTTGCCTCTGGAGACACCATGTAACATGCTTTTGTTTGTAGTTCTCATTGACTATAATGCTGTGGTTGAATCAAAAAAACCAGCCAAGACTGGAACCATGCAGGATGTGCCACTGTAAATCTTTCAGGCCCCTGACAGTAGTTTTAAGAGAGTTAGTTGGCTTTTGCAATTTTCTGAAGTGAAAGAAGAGGTAATACTTAATTATCAGCAATTTTGAAAGTGATTGAGGTTGACAGCCTGAAGGAGAGAATAGATGAGAGAAAAGACCCTGGCAGCTGGAAAGGCCCTTCTTTAGAGAAGGAGGAGGGGCTGCGATGATGGAAGGGGTTAATTCTCTAAGAAAGATAATTTGCATTGCTGCACACTTTATTCTTTTGTTTTTGGTCGAGCTCTCTGTGCTGACTTCTTTGGGGTGTTATTGGCTCTGCTTCCTTGACAGAACAAAGAACCTTTGTTGTCCATCAAAGACCATCCAGATACCCAAGGCCCCAGGAGGGGGAGGTGGACATGGAGGAGTTGCCTGTGTTCCTTCCTCCACAAACAGCAATAACATTTTTGGAAGCATTTGCAGCATTGCTGAAATGTTTTCAAGGGAAATGTTCTTCAGCATTTACATCAGTGCAGATAGTGATGTAAATACTGACTTACTGATTTCTAACCCTGGGAGCCTACGCTGTGTTTCTGAAGGTCTGGCAAGTGAGTCTAAACACAGATAATTTGGGATGAAGTTGTTCACAGAGGATTTTGCACCTGATCATTACTGTCTTGTGTGTGTGGATAATAAAGTCTCTTGTCCTGTGTTGTTGCTGGGTCAGAGATATGAGAACGGGTTGAACCTTTGGTGGAATGAAAGTATGATGTGAGGATAAAAGTCTTAATTTGTTCTACTTAATTGTGGAGAATTTGGAACCGTCTGAAGTTGGACCCCTGTCATCATCCACAGTGAAGGGCAGAGGCCTCCCTCTCCCCTTCCAAAACACAGTGTAGCTGATCTAAACTCTGCATCCTTCCTTTGCTTCTGATAATTGCCTAAAGACTCTAAACTTGGCTCCAACCTTAGCAACAGCTACTGGATCCTGCAAATAATGAATCCAGCCATAAACACCTGGAAGCTTTCTTAAGGTTTTTCACTGCCTGGATGTTCTAGGAGCAGCTCATGCATCTGTGTATGTACACATCTGTCTGGATGAAGGAGGAGTAACTGCAGGATTTTAGCCCTGAGGAGCAAAATCAAGCAACAGGTAACTTTCTTTTACTTTCTTCATTGCCCTACAATTAAAAACCCATCACAAGAACACAAATAAAATAAAGAAAACGTGCCTAAAATTCAGGCAGATAAAAACAACTGAAAAAAAGATTTTAAAAAGCTCTCAAGAAAATGAATAAATATTCATGAAAATATTCAAAAGCTCAGATGTTTTCATTAGTCACCACAGGAGGGAAATATTAATTTGAAATAATAATATAAAAACCTTGAAAAGACTTTAAAAAGAGCAAGGGGAGGAACAGCACACCCTCTGCTCCCACAGCTGATGCATGGCTGAGCTGTGGCCAAGGGTTTCCCCTCTAGCTCAGCCTCCCCTGGAGATTTAAATTGTGTGGGTTTAAAATGTGCAGACCTGCTTCAAACCTAACAAAATATCCCTTCCCTCTGAGTTTTTCCTTTTATTCACACCATAGAAACACAGGAAAATAAAAAGGAGTGCTAATCTATCCTACAGTTTCCCAAGCAAGGACTCTGGGCAGGGGTTTGTGAGTGGATTTGACAGATGTACGAGCAGATGGTGAGGGACACTCCCTGAGAGCACCCGATTCCCAGGCCTCTATGTCCAAAAAAATATCTTTTCACGGATAATGGGATTTTCAGAGGGAAGAAATACAGAATTCACGTCTCACACCACAACTTCTCGGTCATTTCTTGAACGCACAAGGGTTGTGTGGAAACGTTTGTCTTCAGAAAAGAGCTGGCTTGGGCCCATAAACCACAGGGCTCGATCTGACCGTCACAAAACCCAGATTTGCAGCCCGACATCTCCATCTGGCAAGTTCCTCCATGGCTGCATGGCTACAACTGGCAGCTGAATCGGGATCACCTCCTTGTTTACATTGGGTGTGACATATTAGTCCTGTTTGGCCTCTGCCAGAACGTGCTGTGCAAAATAACACATCCCAGGAATTATCCATTGAATGCACGCACTTCTGTCCTGCCCCCACGCTGGGGCACCTCGTGCCAGAGCAGGGCTGGAGCCTCATTAATGTCATTAACGCCTGCTGAACCCCGATACTGCACCAAGGGCGTGAAATGGAGCGGGGGGCTGGGGATTTGACACAAAAAGGTGCTTTTCTGATCCAGTGGGGCAGAAGCTAGGAGAATAAGTTTTGTGATTTATCTATCCTACCCCTGGCAGCATGTTTTTAGCTCCAAATCAGCAGCATCTCCCTTTTCTTGTGGGGGGAATCCACGTCGGACCCTGCTGCTGCCTTGCTGGCAGCTCTCAGCCTCTGCACATTACTTTGCCCAGGAGATTTAGCCTTCCTACATTTAACTACGGAGCGGTGGGACAGAACCCTTCGGCCCATGTTGTCAGAGCCCTCGGCCAGGCGGTCAGCAGCGGCACAAAGCCGGGGCTCACCACCGCAGCCGTGCCCACGGCGTGCAGGGGGTGGATGGGCGAGGGGCTGCACTAATTAGAAACAATTAAAAGGGCCCCAAAAGCTTCGGGTCGGAGCAAAGCGAGACAGCGCTTGCTGTCTCCTTTGGGGCTCCTGTGGGGGGGTCCTCAGGCGAAACGTGGCAGGAGCTCGCCCAGGCAGAGGGGCCAAAAGAGGAACAAAAGGCGATGGTTTCCCTCAACCCAGCTCCCAGCACAAGCCTCTGCTCCCCGCGGGAGGCACCGGAGAAGCCAGGGAGGAAATGCCGGTGCCCTCGGGCGTCCTGAGGGGCGAAGGTGCCGCAGGAAGCGCTGCCTCCCCCGGGACGAGCTCCGCCGTGGATGCGGGGGTGCTGTCGGGCTGCTCCGGCTGCAGTGCGGTTCTTAACGAGACCCCAGCCGGGAGAGACCCTCCCACCCTGCCGGGAGACTGAGCTGCGGTACGGCCGGCTGCAGCCCCGGGGAGGCCGCTGGCCCGGGAAGGGGCGTCGCTGCGGGCAGAGGCCGTCCCGGCGGGGCAGCGCTGCCGGGCACCTCTGGAGCGGAGGACGAGGTGCAGAGCGGCAACACCGGGGAAGCTGCGAGGGAGGGGCGAGGCGGCCGCCGCGGGGGGAAGCAGCTCGAACGTGGAGCGGGAGGTAATGGAGGCAGGGCTGGGGCGGGGGGTGAGGGCCCGCCCCGGGGTGGGCTGAGGGGGCACGGCGGGAGCCCTTCCCACCTCCCCGCAGGGCGGAGGCAGCCGGGGGGACCCTGTGCTGAGGCCGCCGGTGGCTCCGGAGTCCCGGCAGGAGGAGGTTCCCCCTGCCCGGAGCGCGAGTGCGGGATCGCTCCGCCGGAGCCGTGCCCCGGGCGGTGAGTGCCGAGATGCCGCGGGACCGTGCGGGAGGGATGGCGGCAGCCCGGGGCTCTGGGGGCCGCCTGAGCCCTGGCTCCCCTCTCGGAGGCGTCGCCTCCTTGGAGTGCCCGAACTCAGCGCTAAGATTGCTTCAAAAGCAGCAGCCTGGCACCAGGTAGCGGTACCGCCGCCCTGGCTCAGCCGCCCCAAGGGGCTGGAAGTGCCCCGATGCCCATGGAGCGGGCACAGCGGGCAGCGTGTGCGCCCATCTGTGCCGTGGGGCTTGGGATCCTGCAGGGAAACGGGGACCCAGTGGCTTCGGCTCACCCTGGCTGGGAAAGCGATGCAGCCACGGGGGGATGAGATGATTTAAGGCGCTCTCCCCCGTTCCCCCTTTGTGTCTCTGTGCAGGAGCCCGGAGTGCCGTGCTGATGTTTCGGCGTTGAGGTAATGGCAGAAGTCGGTCTGTGGGGCACGGCCGGAGGTCCGGAGCACGGTCTGCCGTGATCTGCGCCGGGATGGGGAACAGCGGCTCGGCCGTGAAGGTCTGCACGGATCACCAAGGCGGCATCAACTGGCTGAGCCTGAGCCCCGACGGGCAGCGGCTGCTGACGGGCAGCGAGGACGGCACGGCGCGGCTCTGGAGCACCGCGGACAGCCAGTGCCGCGGGCACCTCCAAGGTACGGCAGCGGCTTTTCGCCGGGGCTCTGGGGCTGAAGGGTGGCACAGGCCACACAGCGTGTTCTGTCTCTTTCAGTCCCTGCCGGGCAGCCAAAATCAGGCTTGTTTTCGTGTTTATTACAGCAGCGTTAAGCAGGAGCTGTTTCAACCCAAAACAGGTTACCGGCACTACTGAGTGCACGGATCCTTTTATCTCAGGGTGTGCGAAGTTGTTTAACTTATGTCACTTTCTGGAAGCCCTGGTTTACCCTGTGAAAAAATACTGTCTTTTTGTTCTTCTGTCTCTCTTTTTTTTTTTTTTTTTTTTTTTTTTTTTTTTTTTTTTTTGGTCCTTTTAATAATCTCATTTCTACGTGGTCTTTATTTAGAGCCTCTTGACCCAGAAGTCTGGAAAGGAACCTTGCTAAATAGGTTACTTCTGTTTTCCCTCCTCATCTGATGCACAGAAATGTTAATTGCTGGGCTTTTTCAATTTAAATTCATTTTTTAATAATCTCATTTCTAGGTGGTCTTTATTTAGAACCTCTTGACCCAGAAGTCTGGAAAGGAACCTTGCTAAATAGGTTACTTCTGTTTTCCCTCCTCATCTGATGCACAGAAATGTTAATTGCTGGGCTTTTTAAATTTAAATTCATTTTGCATCTTAAAAAAAAAAAAATATTATTATCGTTAGACTGGTGTGTCAGTAATTGAAAAGAAAAAAAAAGAACTGTAGACAGTGGACATGCAGAAGTCTAGATGTGGGCTAAAAATGTTTGTATTCCCACTCATGTTCTTTTCATGAAAAAAAAGAAGCTGTTAAATTTGGAATTTCTAATGTTTTTTTCTTCCAAAGAAGAAATCACATTGCTGTGATTTCTTTGTTGTTTGTTTGCTTGCTTGCTTGTTTTTCACTATGGAGTATTGTCTTTTTTCCCCACATCCTGCCATGATTCTAGCTTCTGGAAAACTCACTGCATTTGCTTAAGGCTTAGAAATCCCTTCAGACTAGAAAGAGAAATGTATTGGATAGCATCCATTATTATGGAATCTGCCAGTGTTTGGGGTAAACTCTGAAGAAGGTTGGGCTGGGTGGTTTGTGAACTGCCAGTCAAATCAGATAATTGTATGTGTTTTATACTTATGCACACACGCAGTTGTCGTGTCAATTTTGATTTTACAAGCTATAATTACTGATAAACCTGTATCTCTAATGCAGTTTCAAGCTCCACCACAGCACAACCAGCAGAGTTGTGTGGTGGCTGCTTTTGGCCAGACCAGCACCAGACCTTGCCTGCCACATGGGGTTTTGGCACCCTGTGTGTGGCTCGGGTTTTACTGATGGTTAAAATCTGCCTGGCAGACTTTGGTGCAGTAACCAAGATGCTGTTTTGATCTCAGAGCTGGATTACATGATGCTGTGAGAAAAATCCCAGTGATTGAAACCTGATCTGTTCAGGCTGCTTTGCAGAAAGTTTCACAAATGTGGGAGAATGAGTGTAGTTTTGCTTATAGCCCTGGTGATCTGTTTAATTTTTGGCATCTGATGAATTTGTTTTAGAGGAAACAAGCCATATGTTTGTAACATGGATTCTGGTTTGCTTTTGAACTACAACAAGGCTTTTGAACTTCAGGACTCATACTGAAAACTGGTTTTTGCAGTCAGTGAAACAGTGCTTTACTGGGCAGTCTGCTTTCCCTCAGTTTTTTTACCATCTCTTTATTTTACAACATTCAGTTTTTCTAATACCTTTGTCCATCTGTCTCTCTTTAATCACAACTGTCCTTTAATTTATTTTTTTTCTTTTTTTTCCTCAAAGAATAGTATTTAAGTCACAGTAGGGCCCACCAACTTCAGCCACAGCTGTCACTCTTGTAATAGTGACTTAAGTGGAAACAGTTCTTCTCCTAAAAGCTTACAGTTTAAATGTTAAAGCAGAAGAGTGCAAGGTAATAGTAGTCCAATGATTAGATAGGTGACAGCAATTTCACACAAGAGATCTTGGATGAAGCTGAGACTTGTATCCTAAGGTGATTTTTACATGTGGTGCATTTAATATTACAATAGAAAAATGATACATCTTGCTAAGCAGCAACAAAAGCTTGAGGTGGTAATATTGATTTCTCTTTTTTGGTATTGCCTTGTTTGTCAGTGTGACGTTTTTAAAGCAGTGGTTGTGCCTGTTTTTATTGTAACTGTAGAATCTATGTACTCTACATATTGTGTAAACAATTGTGCTCTAATCCTCCCTCCCTCTCTTCCTTTCTTTTCCTTAAAGGTATACTTATACTTAGAAAATTGTGGGGTTTAGTCATGTGGGGGAAAGTATTGGCTGACTATTTACTTGGTATGTCTTTTTGTTTGCTTTTCATTCTGCCTGGACAATGAAATCAAACTTGCTGGTAAGTCTCAGGTCATTTTTTCAGAGTTTCTTGCTTTGATTTATGACTGTGTCCTGACAATCAGTGGGCTGGGTTGAAATGCTGCCTTTTTCTCCCTGCTCTCAGAAGAAGGAAGCAAAAGCATTTTTTAATTAAAAAATAAGCTAGATTTTTACGTTTCACACTTCATTAGTCTGAGTTTTTTATATTGGTATTAGTCTATCTCATTACATTTTTATAATACTGTTTGCTTTACCTGCTTGGTGGAACTGTACTGTTTTACCCTCTCACTTAATCCTGATATCAGTGAAGTTTTCTGCTGTGTTGAAATGGTTGTTGTTTTACACAAATCTTTAAACGCTAAAAGCGCAGCGGTGCATTTAAAACTGGAGCTTTGCTGCATTTGTTTGTATTTTTCTTTTGGCTAAGGTGAAGAGCTGGACCGGTCTGTCCTTTCTGCACGCACAGTGACTGATTTCCTTTGTTATTCCTAGGACATGAAAGTTACATCACCTTTTGCCACTTGGAGAACGAGGCTGCCTTCACGTGCAGCGCTGACCACACCATTCGCAAGTGGGACGTGGTCACCGGACAGTGCTTGGCCATTTACCGAGGCCACACATCCATTGTCAACAGGTGGGCTTGTCCCCTCGTGCTCCTGTCATCTGCTGTCACACACTTCATCATTGCACTGCAGCTCCCCATTGCTGCACTCATAAAAGGGGCTGTGTAAACCTCCGAGTTCGTGTTCTGAGCTGCAATGATTAGTTTTTCTAGCAACACTGCTGACACAGATAGGAGAGAAATGAAAGGCACTCAGCAGGGGAATGGAATCCAGGGCCAGGAATGAAATTCCAGAAGAAATGATCCAATTGATAACAGATGCTGCTGATAAATAGGTTTAAAAACATCCTGTCGAGCTTTTGTGTCAGCAAGAGGGATAAAGTCAGAGATTTTTCTGTAATTATTATTCCTGTTTGGGCAAATGAATTTTAATAATAAACTTACTGTGTGTGGCTGATTGGCCTTTCCATTTAAAGTGCCCATTAATAGTTGGACTGGATTTAATTAATGGCAAATAGAGCAGTCAAAGATTGGTATTTTTTTAACATTTCTTTTCTGGTGGGCGTGTGGGCTTTTTAGTTCCTTTCTAAACTCAAAACACATATGACGTGTAGTGAGATTCTGTAAATAGTTAGGGAGGCTGGTTCTGTGTTTTGGCACAGGCTTGATTTTTGCTTGAATCAGCAAATGGGAAATGTGTTCCCCATTCATATGACTTTGTTGCCTGTTTGGAAGGTTCCAGAGGACCAAGCTCAGCTGACAAAGAAGGCAGGTTATGGATGTTTCCTATCTCTGGTTTGGAAATATGAACTGTAGATTTTTTCTGGTTTTGTATGTTTGTGCAGCTACAACTTATTATTTTGAAGGCCCAGGAAGTTGAATTCCTGAGGTGTAACCTTTGGTTTGCTCTTCACTTATGTAATAAGTGGGGTGCTTGTGCTTTACCTTTTTTGAGATCCTGAGCTAAGTGGAATTAAGTGTATTTTTTTTTCTTGCACTCTTCTTATTTGATGATGGAAAGATGGTTATTTTGCACACTGTCAGTTACAGTTAAGATTTCTGGAATGTTATTTTGTTGCTTTGTTGTTGTTTTGGTTCCAAGCTATTGTCACAGGTCTGTTTTTAAATAATTTTTTTATAAAGAAATATTAATGAATAATTTACAAGAATTAACTAATTACAAAAAACCCCAACAAACACAAACCAAACAACAAAACAAACTTCTAGGTATTATATATAACTTATGAAAGTTCATATTCCTTGCTGGAAGGAATTTCAGCAGCACAAAATGCAGAAAGTTACAATGCTGTAGTGTAAAAATATCTGCATCAATGTACCTGAATGAGGGATCTCAATTTTAAAAGTAGAAACAGGGAAGTGTTTGATTTTTAAAAATGCCAAAGATGTTATGGTACATGCTGCTATTTCATGCTTTGGGGTACTTGGCCTGGCACTGAAATGGTGACAAAAGATGGTTATGATAAAGAACAATACTGTTCACATACACAACCTTTATTTTTTGCAGAATCCTGGTTGCTAAAGACTATCTCTTCAGTGGCTCCTATGACAGGACAGCCCGCTGCTGGAGCGTGGACAAGGAGAAACAAATCCAGGAATTCCGGGGCCATCGGAACTGTGTCCTGACCCTAGCTCACTATTCCTCCAGGGATGTGCTGGAGGAAGAGGAGGAGGAAGAGGAGCAGGAGGAGAAAGTGAGCAGGGACCTGCTGGTGACAGGGAGCACGGACTGCACTGTGAAGGTCTGGTGGGTGTCCAGCGGGCGCTGCTACCAGACCCTGCTGGGACACACTGGGGCCGTCTTATGCCTTATACTTGATGCACCAAACAGGGAGCTGTTCTCTGGCAGCACGGATTACACCATCAGGACCTGGAATATTGTCACTGGAGAGCAGCTGAAAGTCTTCAAAGAGCACCAAGGATCAGTAATTTGCCTAGAGGTAAGGGCAGAGGCTTCCTCAAGGGCCTTTGGGCATCTATGTCTTAATTCATGTGGATCTCAGTTATCTTTTCATTCATAAAGAAGCTCTTCTGAGACAGGTTATAAATGGTGAGCTTAAATATTTATGTAATAACAAAATAATAGTGCACTCTGGTCTTGAGACAAACCCTCTTTCTCTAAAACACTTAGTGATTTCCTCTTAGCTTCTGGTGGCTGCCCTGGTCTAACTTCTTTCTCAATATCTCTTTAAATTCCACTAGGTCATGGAACTCGTGAGTAGGTGTGCTGAGGGCACTGTTCATCTGAGTGGAATTGTGCAGTCAGGCTCACCAGACTTGGAAGAAAATAACCCGAGCAAGTAACACAGGGTCAGGTGTTTTAAAACGGGGAGGGGAAAAACACTCAGTAAACCAGACAACTTCAAAAAACCCAACCCAAAGCCCAACCCCAAACTGTGGGCAAAAGATATTAGGAAAGCATAAAGCTGAAATCAATCCTACATTAAAGACCACACAGACAAGATGGAGAAAAAAAGGGAGAAACAGATGGCCAAGACAAGAAAACAGGCAAGAAAAATGGAAAAGAGAAGAAGAGCATGAGGGAGAGAAATCAGGAAATGATGGAGCAGAGAGGGAAAAAATGTAATGAGATCTGAAAAACTATATTCTGTTTTTCTGTTTGCAGTATTTTTATGTTGAATGCTGCCAGCTTTGTTAACGTTGCAATGGAGAGGAGGAGGTCAGGCAGATGAAGCAAGAGGGGAAAGATAGTTATCCACAAGCTCATTATCCACCAGAAAATGCTAATAGTGCATTTAAAAGAGTACATGATGGTCTGTCACTCAGTTTCAGGTCATAAATGTTTATACATGGATGTGTCTGGCTGAAGTTAATGACAGTAGTTTTTCTCCCTGCTCTCCCTGTTTGTGTTTGTTGTCCATAGGTGTTTTTCCCTTACAGAGCTACAGGAGCTATCTTTAATAGCTGTTTAATAAAAGTTGCCTTTGTTTCTAAATAAGGTAGTCACAGCTGACACTAGAAGACTAAAAACCTGGGAATACTGAAGGAATGCTGTTTTCCTTCACTTTTAGAAAAGAAAAGAAAAAAACCCACACAATATCATATTGCCCTGGAGTAATGTTTGTCTTGCTTGGGTAAATTCTCAGTGTTAAATCTTGTTTTTATGATATTGTGGTAATGTACTCTGAGGATACTGAAGTAAATCTGTTGCTGTCCTTAGTGTCACGCTATGTTTTGTTGTTAATTGTAACCCTTCTCCAAGGCACAGATTGGCAACAACAGAGCTTGCCTTAATTTAATTGGGTTCTTGCTAAAATTGTTACACAAAGCTGGCTTGACCCTCTCCCAGAAGCCTGGGAAATTCAATTATGCCCTTTGAATGCTCAGGAATGAGCAATGCCTGTGAGCACAGAGTTAAGCAATGGCTTTAAACAAACAGAACTTCTTGTAGAGGGGAAGAAAAGCAAAACCAATACATCTATTTGGAAAACCTGAACAATTCAGAGTACACAAGACTGCTGCTGCTGCCAAGACCGTGTTGGCAGCAGTCCTGGCCAAATCTTCTGGAGTGGCTGGTAGCCCCTCTCTTCTCTCATCACCAGTTAATGTTTGGGGCTGGGAGGGTCCAGCTGAGGTACAAACAGCCCCTACAGAGAGCATTTAGTGTCCAGGCCTCTCAAACTTACCCCAGCTTAAGCAGTCACTACTGTTGAATAGCTTTAGGCTGTCAGTCTTTCCTAATTCCTCCCTCTGCTTTTCTGGGTTCAACACTATCCCTTCTGTTCCACTTGGCTGCCACTCAGCACAGCCCACATGGTATTTTCATTCTTTTAGAAAGGGGTCAATCACCAGAATCTGTACAAAGATGTTTCAACAGAAAGGAAACTTCCTGAATAGAGGTGTGTTTTTTATTATTATTTTTGTTTTGTCCTCAGAAAGCTTTTGGGGCCTTTTTTGCCTCAGGCTTCCTAGTGACAGTATTGGAATCTGTGGCAATGAGCTGGGATGGTATTTTTCAAACCCTGGGTCAGGAAGGACTGGGAGGTAGTTGTGAGTTGCCCACAGTAGCCAGAAGTTTTAATTGTTGACAGTAATTAATGTTCTCCAGTGCAGCAGTGAGCTGCTAATTACATCAGATTTTCACTCTGCTGTCCTGGAAGAGCTGAGTTGGTGCCAGCAACTGAAGGCAGTTACCTGTTCTCTGGGTGGTACAATGCTTGTGTGGGGAGAAAAAAAGGGAAAGAAAAATAAAGACTTCTTTTCATTTTATTTATTAAAATAAAGATCCCTGAGGGAGGATGACCTTTCAAAAAGTTTGAGAAATGCTCAGTGTGATTTCTCATCCTGGACACAGATCAGGAAAAATTTGGATATTGAGACCATATTTTCCCCAACTTTAAAAAGCTGTTATTGATGGGAATGCCCCAGGATATTCTGAGCTGCTGCAAATTAGGTCTGGTCTGTTCCAGTCATCTCCCATTGCTTTACAGTAAACACCAATAGTGTTGCTGTAGCAGTGAATGGAAATTCCTGGAGCTTCTTGAAGGAGTTTTCTGGGTAGATAGCCATAAAGCACACCCATGTTTTCCACCCTGCTTCCTGCAGTGGTGGTGTGTGGAAAGCAGAGGGGTCATGCCACAGACAGGTTCAGATTTTGAACATTCCCACGTTGCTCTAAGATCCTTTAAAGTGTTGTTGCCAGGTAGTGTAAGTACAGGAGCCTGGAAACAATTCTCATCTAGCATGGCAGAACAGAAAGTGTTGGTGGGCTTTGGGCTTTCCCTCGTGCCCTGTCCTTGGTGGCTCTGGGCAGGGGAGTGATGAGGTTGAGCTGTCCTATTCCCCAGGCTCGTCCTGCTGTCTGGGGGCCAGGCTGGTGAAGGTGACCAGCTGAACCCACCTCGTGTGCTCTGCTACCAAAGGAGTTCTGCAGCTTTATGTGTTCATAATGCCACTTTTCTCCTCCTTTCACCATTTAAATTGGGCTGAGAGAGGTTTTGCTGGGAGACTTTCTATCTGCCGTGGGAATTGTGTTAGGTGCTTTGGCAGCGTTGATTTCTTGACCTTCCCAGTCAGGCAAGGTAGCTCACAGTGGAGCAGCCAGAGCTCTTCACTCTCCTCCTCCTGCAGTGTGTTGATAGCTTGGCAGACAAAGTACAGCAGCTGTTTTGGGAGCTCCCTCTTCATATAAGAGCCAATAATGAGATTTTATAGGAAGTGATGGGAAAAAGCAAGGGTGGGCTGAGTGTAACCACATAGCTCATGCTCATTCTTCCACTTAAAATTTCAGGCCTGGCTAAAGACCAGTATTTACAATTAATAATCAAATATGCATTTTCATTAATGTGTCTGCCTGCAATGGGCTGAATAACCCTGATTTAAATATTTACTTGTGTGTGTTTTTCTAAATGTCTCTCCTAAGTAGCTTTGCAAACTGTTCACAAGGATTGCTTTGTCCTTTGCTGATTGTTCTGCCTCTGAGTATTTATCAAAATTGTGCTGCCAAAAGCTGGCAGAGAGAAATGATCCAGCTTGGAATTTAGCTTGGATCCTACTGCAAACATTCTTGCAAGAAAACTCCCTTTTGAAGAACATGAACATGAGTGGGCAAGGACTTGCTTCTGCTTTTCCTGCAAAAGTTCCTTTGTTTGGACCATTCCCTTCAGTTGCCTTTTAAAGCTGACTAGAAGAAAAGAATGCTTTGAACAAAGCCACTGCCTGAACTCTGTTTATGTGCTGAACTGTTGTGATCACGGGGACAGAAGTGTTTTCTTGCCACACCACTTAATTTAAGTGCACATATTTTTTGCAATTTGTGTTGATATTTGTTGCATCAGAGGATGAAGATGTGAATAAGTGGAATGTGAAGGTGTACAACACATGTAAGAACCTGTAAGAAACATGGGGCCATCACTTTGCACTGCAGTAAAAAAGCTGAAAAACATTCTCTTAACAGCCAGTCCAGAGAGCTCATTCTAGATGGATTCTCAGGGAAAAAAAACCCAACAATTTCTTGCCCACAGGGAGTTTGTTAGCTCGTTAAAATGGATGTGGTTTGAATGGGATCCTGAAACTCTTAACTCGGCCCAAGACTTACATAGTTGTATCTTGACATTGGTCCAGCTTGGTGATTTTTGACTTAGAAGTGGCTGTGAACAGAAGACCCAAATTCCAGATTGTAGGAACACTGACCTCCACAAGAAGAATAAGCTGGTGATGGGGTATGTGGTTGCTCATGTGAACTCATCCTGAAGTTGATGAGAGCCAGGCTGAGTGCACTGACCCTCAGCAAAAGGATGTGTCCAGATCTCTTTGGAGAATCAGTTGCCTCTCCTTGGCTCTCCAAAAATTGTTTCTCACAGCAAAGGTTAATTGGGAGGGCAAAGTCCATTCCTATAAGGTTGAAATATCTGCTAAACAGCTCTTTTGCTGTTATTTTTTGGCATTTTTACAGGTAGAAGTTGGCTTAAGCTGCTGCATTTATGCAGTTCAGCCAAGCTTGTGAAGCAGTTGGGCTGTGATTGTCTTGAGAGACCAACCCTGGACGTGATAATTTGTTCTTTATTAAAATTCTGATGTGTTTGTAGGCTACAACCAAGGTTTTTTCTTATTAATGAAACCTGTAACTACTAAAGTGTTTACAACTAGTCTTTTGCTACTGCTATTACTATGCAGCTCACAAGCAGTTTGACTGAACTTTTTCAAGGGATAGTTACATCTCCAGTACTTTGGGTTGAGGATTAAGACAAATTTGCTCCATTCACATGTCAGTGTTTCATCTGGTTCAAAGCAAAAGTTCTCATGGGAAATATTAACAATCCAGAATTGCCAATATCAATGCAATGGGGTTTTTTTTCTGCTGTCTGGCTGAGGCTTTAGAACTGGGCATCAAACTGTTGTCAGCTTTTTGATGTTTTTGAAGCTACATGGGTTTGAAATGTCCACTCAGCCCGTTGGTATCTGAGCTGCAAATCCGTTCTGTGTCGTCCCCTCTGCTGCAGGTGTCCTTGCCTGGCCGTGGTGTTCTGTGCTCAGGAGCTTTGTTGGGCAGTTGGCCAAAGTGAACCAAGTGTTCAAAAGCCAGCCAAGGAAAACACAGCTTTAGAAATGTCACCTCTTCTCTGGGCAGACACAGATTGGAATATGTAACTGTGTCTGCTAAATATTTTGAAACCACAGAGTGTGGGGCCAGCTTGTAAGGTGCTTTTTGCTGGGGGAACAGTAAGTGATGATAATGGTTATTTTAAATGTAGAGTAAATGCAGATATCTGAAGTGTTGCAGCTTAGGCTGGAGTTGTAAGCTAGACCTATCTTTAGTCAAGTGAAGGAGTGATCTCACCTGAATTATTCTGGCCACAGCTGAGAAGGTTGTCCTTGCTGGGTGTGGGAAATTGCGAGTTTTAAGGCATGATCTGTTTCAGATGTGCCTCAGGATGAGAAGAATTGTGCCCTAGACCACAGTGACTGTAAGGGAGCTATCTCCATCCTGTGGAGATGTGAACCAATTTAGATGAGATTATGCCTATCATATCACTAAAGACAGATCTGATTTGCAACTTCAGCCTGAGCTGAGAGCTCTTGAAGGCTTTCTTCACTGGCAGCCATTTCATGCTGTTTTATAAAAATGCCATGGGAATGAGGGGCTGTGCGACAGTCAGAGCCTGCCCTGGGTTTTGCTGTTGGCTCTGCTGCAGGCTCAGTCTGTGGCATCTGGTGGATTGTTTAACTTGTTAATACTTCCTTTCTCATGCAAGATTGAGAATCCTGTGCCACTGTGCTCACCTGCTTAAATTGGCAAGGGGAAGGAAGGTTCATGGAAGTGTTTCATTGGGCAGCACAGAGGCTTTGAATTTAATTGAGATGCTTGGTGTGCCAACCACCTCACCAGATCTCAGACACTGAAAAGCCAACCCTACCCAGGGCTGCAGCAAAACCAGTGCAGGCAGCAGGTCAAGGGTGTGATTCTTCTCTGTTTTTCTCTTGTGAGACCCTACCTGCAGTGCTGCATCCAGCTCTAGAGTTTCGGTACAAGAAAGACATGGATTTATTGGAGCATCTCCAGAGGAGGTTGCGAAGATGATGAAGAGGGATGGAGCACCTCTGCTGTGGAGACAAGCACAGAGAGTTGGGTTGTTCAGCTTGGAGAAGGCTCCAGGGAGACCTTAGAGCCCCTTCTAGTGCCTAAAGGGGCTCTAAGAGAGCTGGAGAGGGACTTTGGACAAGACTGTGGAGTGATGGGACAAGGGGAAATGGCTTTAAACTAAAAGAGGGTAGATTTAGATAGGGAAGAAATGATTTCCTGTGGGGGTGCTGAGGCCCTGGCACAGGTTCCCTGGAGAAGCTTTGACTGTCCCATCCCTGGAAGTGTTCAAGGCCAGGTTGGAAGGGACTTGGAGCAACCTGGGATCGTGGAAGGTGTCCCTGCCCATGGCAGGGATTTTGAACAAGATGATCTTTAAAGTCCCTTCCAACTCAAACCATTCTATGATTCTAAGGCTCTTAAAATCCTGATGCTGTAAATTATCTGAGTAAATCTGCATAACTTGAAACATTTTTGTGTCTAATTAGCAAATCTAGGAAAGCTGCAGCTCTCCTGTTCATTGATACACCCACTTAAATGTAGAAATGAAGTGGTATAACCTAATGTACCATTAATACAGAATGGCATTTACCTGTGGGAGGTTATAATTTAGTGTTTTTCCTTGCTCAGTGGGTGGGTTGATGCTGCTAGCAAGATGTCTAAAAAAGAAATGCAACAACTTGGCCACAAACCACGCAGCAGGATCTCAACTCCAAGCATCCTCTTCCATTTAGCAGGTGCACATGACAATGTTCTTTATGCCTGTTTAGCGAGAGACTGAAATTTGAAAGTCCTTCCTCAGGCTAACTTGTGGTTCTTGGTTTTGTTACTGCTGCTGGCCATTCGTTCTCTCTTCTCATGGAGATGTAGCATTAATGCTGTTGCTAAAACAGCTTAAAAGTAATAGGAAGTGACATTTCAAAGTACTGCTGGCTTTTTACAGTGGTTTGTGCTTTACAAGCTCCTGGCATTCAGCTGTGAAATCTCTCCCATGGGCCAGGTTCTGCTGGGAGGAAGAGTGGCATGTCCTGCTCCAGCTGAGCTGGTGGGAGCTGTGGCAAGGGAGCCTCTTAGTCTGCTTGCACTCATTTCTTGTGTGGGTTATCCCAGTCCTATCACTGTAGTGCTTCATATCTTAAAATACCTTTTGCTTCACGTTGTAACACAGCACAGTGCTGTTTTGTACAAAACTCACTTCTGATGCTTTTTGGGAATGGGGTCATTCCTTTATGGATTTGGAGTGGAGATGGAAGAGCATGAACAGCATTCCAACCTTACAAATAGAGAGTGTGAAAAGAGTGGGGACCAAATCAAAGGTGGCAGGAAAGCCAACCCTTAAAAGTGCTCTACGAGCAAGACCACAAGTTGATTTGTTATTTGCTGGTTTCCTGGAGATACTGGAGAAGCATCAGGGGTTTGTGCACTGCTGGTCATTCAAACCTGGGATGTGTGTCTGGTGGACAAACAAGGTACCATTCATTACTCCTTGGGGAAATTCCACTTCTTGGTGGGGGGTCAGAGTTCTCCCTCCTGTCTCTCCATCCCTCTGATACAGAGGCTGCTGCAAGTCCATAAAACTTCCCTCGAGCCACAGCTGGGTGTTGCAGTGACTGGCTGCTTTCAGCAGGAGTTGGGCTCTACATAATAACAATGGCTGTGAAAACATTCAGTTTGATGTCTTTACACAGACAGAGAATGCCAGATTTTTCTATGCACTATGGAATTTTTCCTTCCTGAGCTTTCAGGCTTTGTGTAGCTTGTTTACTGTGAACTGGTTGTTTTTTTTAGTTTTGCACAGGTCAGTTATTTTCTCTCTGTCTTTGTTCCCCAGCTTCAGTCCTTCCTTTCGTCATTCTCTGTCCTGTCTATGTGGAACAAGTCCCATCCTCCCCACCAGTGAGTTCTCACAACGTGTAGGATGACTGGTGCAATGAGGGGTAGCACATAGCAGAAGACAATCTGCTTGAAGATGTTTAAAAACCTGTGTCAGGATAGTTACTTATTTAATCATTCAATAACAGTCTAAAAAGACTTGTGGAAATCCAGATACAGAACAGTTTCAAGGATGAGTTAGTGTTTCTGAACACTGACTTTGTGCAGAGTGATCATACTAAATATAAACCCTGGTTTATGGTGTGTGGAATTTAATTTTAATTTACCTTTTTAAGAAATTTTTGTTACTCAGAATTGTTCTGAATTTTTTTGTAATTAGCAAGTAACAATTGGGTAAGAGTTCTTTGTCAAATATGCTTTGCAGAAACAACACTGCTGGGGTTTTTTTTGAGACTTTAGTAATATAACTGATTATGGATGTGGGGTTAGCATTGTTAAGCTCCCTGGAATCCTGCCTGCTGGCACAAGCAGATGGGCTAAGCCTTTATGTTCTGAAAGCTAGGGGCTGTTTTTAAGACCCAGAAGTCAATGGGAGATGCGACTGTGAAGAACCCAAGGCTGGTTTGCTCACCACTCCTCTGTTTCAAGGTGCAGCTGGTTGCTCTCTGAGTCAGAAACTGTGACTTGGGATGGGTCCCTTCAGTGCAGCTCTTTCACAAAGGTGCCTGAGAGGCCATTGCTGATGTGTTTTTCTCTCCCCCCAGCTGGTGAATCGTCACCTGTACTCGGGGAGCGCGGACAGGACGGTGAAGTGCTGGTTTGTAGACACTGGGGAGCGGATCCAGACCTACAAGGCTCACAAACACAGCGTTAGCACTTTGAAATACCATGCTGGCATCTGTAAGTTGCCTTTCCTGTGTTCTCCAGCCCCCTCCAGTCTCCTTTTCCATGTCTGTGTTTGATTGAAGGTGGTTAATGGAGAATAATTTTGAATGCTTGTGAAGTTGTCACTTTTTTTCAACTCCAGCATGATTACATTCAGTACCAAACTGCTGCACCACTCCATGTGGGAAGCTTAGGCCTTCCCTCCATTTTCCACCTCCTTCTCACAAATGAAGAGGCAGTTGTTTTGTTTCTGTTACCAAGGGATGTGGCTTAAATCCTGAGCTTGTTTTTGTCGCTGTGGTTTAACCTTGACTAGTCTGGTGTCTGTCACCTGCTTCTGCTGCATGCTGGGGACAGCAGGTGCTGCTGCTGGACACACAGCCCTGTGCCTCTCTCTGCTGCCTTGTAGGCTCTGTGGAACACCCTGTCCTAAACCAGAATGACACCTCAGGTGCTCACTGCTCCTTTCTAACTGTTAAGCTTCCTATTGAGGCTCTGACCATCTCCTAGACTCATTTCCCACAAGTTCTTTACCTGTTATCTGTTATCATTCATGGACTTGTTTTCCAAATCATTTTCCTCTAGTAGCCAAGCCTTACTAATGCTCAGGACTCAGCTCTGCTACCTTCAGTCCTCCTGTTTACAGTGGTTTCTGTCCGTCAGTGTCTATTGCTGACCATCAAACCTCCCTCTCTGTGCTGGCTTTCCTTCTGCTTGTCTGGGTTTGGGTTGCCAGGCAGCACCTCTGTTTTGATCAGTGAACCTCTCTGTGTCATCCTGGTCTTATCCTGCTTCTGGTGTTTGACTTGATGTACCTTCCCTTGCTTCCCAAAAAAGAACTTCTCTCCTTCTCTCCTCTCCTACCCTGAAGGAGATGGCCATGGCTGTCTTAAGCTAACCTAGACGTTCACAGCTCTTTCCTGATTTTGATTTCTTCACTTCAGCTTTGAAGTGAACACATCACACTAAATGAGTGGTTGCTATCTGGGCCTTGATCTCTCTTTTGGCAGCTCCTCAGTGTGATGGTGATAAATAGCTGACAGATGCAAGATGGTGCACGTTAGCAGAGTTGTACCTGCACAGTTTAGTAGCAGTTGTCTGGCACCATGCTTGCCTCACTACATTTATAACCCAGTAACTGAACTGATTTCTTAATTATGTTTGGAAACTTAGTATGTAACCAGGCACAGAGGTAGAATTTTTAGCCAGGAAACCTTGTTTTGGTCTTCCTTTCAGCATGAGTCCCACATGACTGCTTTTCTGCAGTAAAATATTTATTTATAATTTATGGTTATTTCAGCTCTCCTCACCTCCATGGCAGAATTACCCCATTCTTCCCTACCTGCAGGTTGAAATTTTTGCTGGTTTCAGCTTCCACAGGTGGCTAAAAGGCTGAAATGGAAGGGATAAAGGGTCTGAACCTACACTGCACTTTCAAGTTATTATTGCTTCAAGATGCAGGCAGGTAGAGCAAGAGAAATGAACCAGAAATTGTAATCTGAGATGCTCACTGGTAGACAAAGTACTGATGATTTTGTGTGTGTGTTTTCCACCTTTTAATTATTAAGACACAAACCAGATTTTGTCCAGACTAGGCAAAGGCCAGTGATCTGTGCTAAGCTGATGTTTGCCTGATCCCGTGCTGAACTTGCATGTCTGGGTGGCAGACAGGGATTGTCTCCTTCATTAATGACACCTCCAGAGCTGCAGTTGTTCAGTGTTGATCCTACTCTTCATGCAACCTGTAGAGACTTGACCAAACTGTAAAGAAAAGGAAGTTTTAGCTCAAACAAAAGTTTCATTATGTGACACCACCTCCATCAGCTCTGCAGCTTTCTCTCTCTTCCCCCTCATTCTACCACCTTGTCCCTGCCATACACATACATTATTTTTCCACAACACTCTTTTTTTGAATTAAAATGCAGACAATATTGCTGCATTTAGTCAGACTTGCAAAGAACATCCTGATAGTGTGATAGAAGAGTTTGCAAAGTTATTTAAGATCCTGTTTTAAATCAAATGCAAAAATACTAAAAGTGTCAAACAGGGAGTATCAAATTGTTCCACTTGAAGGGCAGAAAAAAAGTTCTGGAAAAATATTAGGAATTTGTTTGAATGCATTATGTGCGCTTTAATTAATGAAAGAGGAAATTTCCCCCTAAGAATTAATTTATATACTATAATTGCTTGCATTATTGTGGTGCATTCATCACTTATTTCCACAGTATCTAATAATTTTGTTAGAATTAGAATTATAAAGACATGTTAACTGGATACCAGTGTAGCTTAAAATACAGTCTGTTCACCTGGGACAGATCAGAACAGTCTCTCAAAAATGTGGAAAAAATTATTGAAATTATGTTTGTTACGGTTTATGTCACATTTGCACCAGTGCAAGAACATGAAAAAAACATCTCAGCCATGAAGTGGTAATTTTCTGTTAGAAGATCTTAATTCTGCTGCTTTCTCTCTGATCACAGCCCAAAGGCTCATTGCCCCAAAGGGTTTGTGGTCTAAATAAGAAAACAGAGTAGAAGAAATAGAGGAAAAATACATGTCTGTTTCCAAAATCACTTTATAGTATACAGGGAGTCCAAAAAGATGTGAAAACTAAGCATTAAATCATCAGAATGTGTTTCCAGTGACTTTCCTCAGTCTGCTTGTGTAATTAATAGCATGGGGAATATTACAGCTGGTTCTCAATCTAATTTATTTAATGATATGTTGATTATTTTTCTCTTAAAGTATGTGCACAGCCATTTAAAATTTAATGTGGTTTATATATTTTTCATGTTGCAAAAGCTCCAGGGGAATATTTCAAAACTGTTCTCCCAAGGGTCTATGAAAATTAAGTAAAAAATGAAAATTAGTTTTATTTTGTTGTTGTTGTTTATTTCACAGGTGATATATATAAGTATGTATTTAAATGCTAAATCTGGGTTAGATCAACAGCTCTTCTTTGAAATTCAGAGGTGGAGAGAGACTTCCTAAATCCAGAGTGACAGTTCAAAAGACATAAAGGATGTCTGTCAAAAGGGAAGTTCTGATGGCAACAGCTGAAGTAAACTGGCAGCTGCATAGTGAAAACAGCTCTTAACTGGTTCCTACTCTCTGCATGTCTGTAACAGAATTAAGTGCTTTCCATTCACTGGGAAAAAATCAGTACCTGTTCCCTGCTTTACTTTGTTGCTACTCATTTGCAGAGTGGGACATGATGCTTTTTCAGGACTCTGCTGGAAATTGAATTATTGTGTCCCATATAAAGTGACATTGATTTTCCACATCCAGATGTTTCTTGGAGGTGCACCCAGGAGGTGCCCAGCTCCCTGCTGTTTCATTTGAATTTAAAAAGCTCGTGGCAGTACATAGTCAGTTCTCTCATCTGTTATTGTAGTCCTGAATTTACAACCATGATAATTTTTTCACCTCTCTTTAGAGATTCAGTTCCTGACTTCTCCTAAAAGATAAGAATCTGTTGGCTTCAGGCACACCAGTTTTGTAAAAATCTTCCCATGCCAGTGGCTTTTACATGAAATGCAGAGAGCAGTGAATATATTGCTTTTTGCAGCTCTGAAATATTTATGTCTAAATAAACTTGAGGAGTTTGGGTTAACTGAAGGGAAGTGTTTATTAAGATTGTTTGTAACCTTTAAAGCACACAAATGGGCTCCTTTTTGGGCATATTGCTAAGTACAAAATCTAAATATTAAGACTGCCTTACAGTTCCTGGATGCAGCAGTCTGGGGATCTGATGTGAAGATGCTGAAGTGTTGACAAATTGTTCTTTCAACATGTAAGGTGCTCTAAGGAAACCTGATGAATAGCCAAAATTCCTGGTCATGCTCAATTTAGTTACCCCAGCCCTGCCCCTCTTGCAGCAGCAGAAGTAATGGAAACACTGGAGTACTGAATGGAAAGCTGTAAATAACTCTGGTAAAACAAATGAAAGGTTGAGTGGAAATCCTTAAAACCAGACTTGAGATAAATTGCCTGCTTAGAATTATTATAGGCAGGGAAATAGCTGGGGAAGAGAAGAGCAGAAATAGATACTTGAAACATGTGCAGAGTGAAATGCTGGTATGTGTAGGAACTTCAGGTTTAAATCAGTATTTCAAAAAATACAGCTCAAAGCAAGCATGCTGGGGTCAGCAAAATGATCTGGTTTGTCTGAGGAGAGAATCAAAATGATTTGTCATACCCCCCTGAGAGCTGGTTTTAGGTACATGTTTTAACTTTTATGAAGTGTCCTCATGTGGCTGTGCTGTGTGGTTGTGTGTCAGTGTTCACAGGAAGTGGTGATGCCTGTGCAAGAGCTTTCAATTCCAGGAGCGGAGTCTTGCAGAAGATCTTCCGAGGACACAAGTTCATCATCAACTGTATCCAGGTCAGGAAGGGGTTTCTTGATGGAGTTTCTTCCTTTAGATTGCTCCCTCATTTGTTTTGTGGGATCTGGTGTGGCTGACTGTTCTGTGTGTCTTGGATTGGATGTTGTTCTAGCATAATACTTGAATATTCTGTACGTAATTTTAGAGAAGCTTGTTAATAATCATAAGGATAAGTGAAACCACGGAACGAGTCCCCAGGGACAGCCCCATGTCTGGGACGGGGTTTTTTCAGGTCAGCTTGGATAAGCAGCCACGAGAACTGAGACAGATGAACTGATGCTGTGTGGAGCACAGAATGGACTCCAGCCTCATGAGACCTTTTCCATTACAAGACACTAATGATAAGTGTTTGCAGTGCTCTAAGGGGAAAGGAAGTTCCTGCCTTATGCAGGCAGAATAATTATAGCATTGTCCCCCAAACCACCCAGGGGCATGGCATCCCCAAACAGTCTGAAGCAGCTCAGTGGTGATATCTGACCCACATCCTGCCAGGAAAATGGAGGAGTTTCTGCCACTGGCTTAAAACTTAAAAGTTATTGTTTGCGTAATGTCTAGGGTCAAGTGAGACTGGCATTTAATGGTTACCACAGGAGGAATTAGTAATCCTTGTGGCCATGCAAAGACCATGGAATCACAGAGGGGCTTGCATTGGAAGGGACCTCATTCCAACACCCCCTGCCATAGGCAGGGACACCTTCCACTAGACCAGGTCCCTTCCAACCTGGCCTTGAACACTTCCATGGGTGGGGCAGCCACTCTAAGAATCTGCATCTCCCTGCACTGGGATCTCAGTGTAAGCTGTGTGCAGGATGAAGATTTTCATTAACAATGGGAGACATTGTTGGTAATTCTGGCAGGCTGACAGTCCAAAGAAAAAGAGAGAAGATAAAATTCCTTTTGGAGTTGATCCCAAGCACATGAAGTTGTAAATACAGTTTTCTCTTGAATTAGCAAGTGGCTGCATGATCTTAAACTGCAACCTCCTGGTACTGGGCAGTTGTTGTAAAGCAGGTGGGCATGTGGATGTGTTTGGGGAGTACCTGATGGAACCACCCTGGGCAGCCCCAGGTATTGACAAGACCAAAGCTTGGCCTTGTCTTGTTCTTCTTTGTAATTGAATTTCCAACTGTACAGGGGCAAAAAAAACCCCAGGAAGAGAGAGGACTGAGATGTGGCAACCTTAAGATGATCGTAGGTATAATAATGAGGGCTGGATGAGAGGTGTGGTGCTTGTGTGGTACTTCATGTAAGCCAGGGGATGCTCACTGTCCCAGCACAGACAGGCAAGCACAGGGCACCCGTGGGGTGGGCAGGCTGATACAGGAGCAGGAAGATCACCAAGACTGATGTCTGGTTTCCAGGGCAGAACATGGGCAATTGGAAACATTACCAATAGCAGCAAATGGTTTGTAAAGGAAATGAAACCACAGCAGTGAATCCAGGTTAAATTACTGCAGATTTGAAGAGCAATGGAGTTTGAAGGAGGAATTGTACCTATCATTTAGTGCAAAGGAAGAAGGGAAGTGAGAAAGGAAGCATTCCTGAACCCACTGCTGCCCACTGATGATGATTTTGGTGCCTCCTGAAGTTCCACATCAACCAGCAGTCTGAAAACAGTTCCAGCAGGAATTCCCAGCCACAGCCTGCTCTGACATTGGGTTTAGTTCTCCTTTGCTTTTCTAGAGGGTATGGGTTATTAACAATTCTTGCTGTTTATGGCTCTGTGAAGTGGCTGAGAAATGAGTCCTGACTTGGTAATGTCTCATCCCACTTCAGCAGCTTTTGTGATAATTTATACTGGCTCTTGCAAGGAGCTCAGGCCTTAAGTGTTGGGATCAAGCTGTGTTTGCTCTGCTTTTTGACAATTTGATTGTGCTGTGACCCTATTGTTCCAGATCCACAACGAGCTGCTCTACACAGCTTCCCACGATGGCACACTGCGGATCTGGGACATCCGGGGCATATGCAAGAGAAATAAGCGGCGCTTGAAGAAGGAGAGGTCTGTGCAGGGCAGGAGCTCCCAGAAGGGGAGTCTGTCTCGTCTCTTCAACAATAAAGTTGGCTGTATGATACAGCAGGAGAATGGGGAACATGAGGCTGTTGAACTGATGTGACTGTCCAGAGCAGGCTTTATGTCAGTGACCAAAGCTGAACCTTTTATTTTCTGCACCACTGTGTCCATGTAAACCAGAACTTGGAAAGAGATGGGAAGTGGCTTCGCCTGAATCTCTGTGTGAGGAGCCAGGATTCTCTGTGGCTGCCAGATGGACTCAGGTCAGATCCCGTGGCTGTGATGACTCAGCTGAGCAGCTCTGGGATCGGGAGGGGAGGCAGCATGGTTCAGGTGAGGTAGCACTGTGTGACTGCAATTAGGGACTTTCCTTACCACTGCTGACATCAGTTCCCTGGGCACAGAGGTGGCTGCCCGGTGTCTAATGAGATGTTTTCCCGTTCCTGTTGCCCCCTCCCATGACCCCTGTCCAGCCCAGTGTGGCAGTGAAAGGTGGCCTTGAATTCCACCTTCACAGCTGCCCTTCAGGTCAGTCGTTGGCTGACAAGGCCAAAGCAGGAGGGTTTGGCTCTGCAGCAGGATTTTAAAGCAGACTGGAGACCTCTCTGTGAAGCTGGGAGTAGTAGGACAGAAATTAATTTAATTGTTTTTTTTAACAAAACATAAGCCACAGAGCAAGCTAAACCTCAGCCCTTTTGTGCCAAGGTTGTTTGTGCCTTTTGTGTCACCTGTTTGCTGACCTTGTGTTGTCTTTCCTCCTCCCAAAGCTGTGTCTTGCTAGGTTGTCAGTAGCATTGGATAAGCAGCCAAACTCAAGAGTTTTCCCAGTCTTTTTCCAGGTTCATTCTTCTCTGATAACCACTGAGCCATGAATTAACAAGGGTTCTTATATTTTTCTATTTGCAGATATAACTCTTTGTAGAACCAGTACAAAAATATCTAACCACATGTTTTTATTTTTATGGCTTTATTTATTCTGTACTACAGCAAGATAAAAATGCTGTAATTCTTTTTTAGAATGGATTAATAAACATGTGGCATCTCCAGACAACTGCCTGTCTAGTTTTCATTTTTGTCTTATATATCTGGAGGGGTGTGGCCTAGCTGCAGAAGCACAGACGTTCAGAATGGATGGAAGGAGGGAAAAAACCCCACATACACTTTTGGAGACATTTCTTGCCTTTTCCTCAATTCTGGGGTTAGAGTTGGGTGTGTGTGAAGCTGTCCTGGCCTCCCACCAGGCACCAAAGTGCCAAAGCTCAGTTCCCCTATCAGGGGAAGGAGGGACCAGACACAAAAGCACAGACTTAGGGAAAGCAGGGATGACAAAGTGCTACAAGCCCTGACTCAGCACTGCCCTAATGGCACCAAGCCTCCTGTTCTGACACTTTAACACTGTGTCAGTGGGTCAGACCCATCACAGACCCTGCTCTCCTCTCCTGCTGAGCAGCTTTGGTAGTTCTTAACTGGCAGGTTTCCACATCTAGTAGAAAACAGCATTTAAATTTTGTGAAATGCCTACCAAGAGACTAATTTGGGAGGTGAGCTGCATCGTGCAGACTTAATTCCAAAGTAAACCTCTCAGGCTGGTCATTGTGGCTCAGTGGCATGTGTCTGTGAGCTGCTGCTGGCTTGCCATGCAGCTGATTGTTTGTATTTTGCTTCTGAGGACAACACTAAGTAGGAGGCCTTTGGGAGCTGGATGGAGTTCCCCAGACCACCTGGGCTGTATTTAGTGTTTAAAACTTCACACGCAGTACGTGAGACACAGGAGCCTATCTGGGCACACAGCAGCTGCACATGCAGTCAGCAGAGAGAGATCTCAGAAAGTGGAATTAATGAGTCATTACCACTTCTGCCTGTTGCTAAACATATCACAGTGCCTCCAAATACATGGTCAAAATTAACTTGCAGCTTTCAGCCAATGCCTCTTGCTCTGCTGATCACTTACAACTGCACTGGCAGAGTTACATCATTGATGAATGGCTGCTCTGACAAGCACTGCATGTTATGATGCTAATTTTAAATTCCCCAAGGACAAACCTTCCCTTCTGAAGTTGTCGCTGCCAGTTTGCTGTGCAAGCCACTTCAAAGAGAACTGCTGCATGTGCAGCTCAATGCTGCCTTCAGTGCATGCCCAGGGGCAGGCAGCCAATGCCAGAAGGTTTGGGAAGGGAGGAGTAAATTTGTGTTTCCACCTCCTTCCTGTTAAAACTACATCCATGACTTGCATGCTTTCAATTTTAAATTCTTTCCTCTATTCTGTTTTTGCTCTGTATTTTGTCCAGGGGTTCCTCAGTGCTGGCCTGTAAAGAAACCAGGATATAATGGGTGCTGGGGCTGGTTTTCCCTCAGAAGCTCCTACTGCTGTCTTTGGAAATCCTTCAGCTTTCAGGGTAGAGATACAAAGCCATTCAATTTTTACAGCACTTGCCTTGATAGAGAAGAATGAAATACAAACAATTCCTTAACAGTGTAATCACTGCCTGTTTTTGCTGTTTGGCTGAGGGAATCAGTGCAAAACCCAACCTTGTGCTGCAGTCCCCGCGCTGGAGCTGAGCAGTCCTTCCGAGCCAAGGCCCTGCTCCCTGCAGCGCACAGCAGCTCACGCCCTCCCTTCCCGGCCGGTAAGTGCCGGCTGAGGAGACGCTGTCACCACACGGAGGGCTGATGTCCTGGCTGGAAGCGGAGAGCGCGGCCGATTCCCTGCTCCCACCGGCTCCAGACGGGGCCTGGGCTCCCTCTACCGAGAGCGTGGAGCCATGGAAAACGAATAAACCACGTCCAAGCAAGGCTGCCAGGCAGAGGAATGTCTGTTCCCGGCGCAGAGGAGTGCTTACAGGGCAGGAAAAGCGATGTTATAAAACCACAGAAACCCCCAAATGCTTCTTCAGAACGCTGGAGCTGGACACAACTTCTGAGACAGCACCTGAACAGAGCTCTGTTCAACAGCTGATTGCACAGTATCCTGTAATCCCCCGAAATCACAGAACCACAGGGTTGGAAGAGACCTTCAAGATCATCGAGTCCAACCTTTTCCCTGACACCTCAACTAAACCATGGCACCGAGTGACACATCCCAGTCTTTTTTTAAACACATCCAGGGATGGTGACTCCACTACCTCCCTGGGCAGACCATCATCCTTAATCCACACCTTAATCCATCAACCTTAATCCACACACCTGCAGAGGTTAAACAGAGCTGAGGGAAAGTGGCTGTTTAGTTATAAAAGGAAATTCCAGTAGATCAACTCCCCCAGTCCCAAGACAGGCCCAGCCAGGTAGTTCCCACTTTTTAAACAAAGCACAGAGGTCTCTCACCGAAGGCAGAAGCAGCACAGAGTTACCTTTATTGCCTGTGTAACACCTGTAGGAAGGGAAAAGCAGAACACGGTATAAACCCATGCACAACAGATACATTAATGTCTCTTAGAAATCTTTCAGAAGAAAAGTTGGAAAGCTGATACACCTCTACAGCCTCATGAGCTAAGGTTTCTTGTTTACAAACTCACATTTTTCTTTTAAAGCTGGTATTTTAAAATGGTATAGAAATGCTTCTTTACTGAGTTAACTTATTTCACAATAAAAATATAGTTTAGTTCTATTAAATTTTCTTCTGAAAATAAATGTTTCTATATCTCTATGACAATAAATTACAATGTATCACAAATGTAGGCTTTAAGCAGAGTTACAAATAAGCAGGAATTAAGTATTCCAACTATAGTTTAATGGAATTCAAGGCCCTTAGTAAGAGATAAGCTGAAGGTGCATTTATAATCCAAACTCCATTTGACAAGGTAAATACATATAACTGAAGTAGATTTAATGGGATTTAGTGCTGTGGTACTTGTATATAGGATAAGTATTCATGAATTATCTGCTCCTCTTCCTCGAGTGTTAAATCCAGATAATCCTCTTCATGCTCAGGAATATCCTCTAGGATTTCATTGACTGCATCAGTCTCCATGTCTTCATCTGTTGGTGAACTAGAGGAACCTTCCAATAAAAAGCAGCAGCAGTGAATTCACCACTGAAAGAAGTTGGTGCTCTCCCTGTTTCAGCAGCCAGCCCCTTCCTGCACAACCACCTCTTACAATTACTGTGCAAAGGACAGGGCAGGATGGCCATTTTTCCTTATTATTTAAATGTGGTGTAGGAAAGCTTTTAATTATACAGCAGGGATCACTACAGCTCTGACAAGTAATGAGAGAAAAAGTATGTGCAAGTTACTTTAAGTTTAAAGTTATTGATTATGGTTCTATCCTGTAAGGGACATGATGAAGGAGTATGGAGGCAGGCCAGCCACCTGCAGAGGACAGTTCTGGAATAAACTCCTTAGCCTTGCCCAGGACACCTGAGTGTCACCTTTTCTCCTGGGCTGCACCTGCCTGCAGCTGGTACCTGTTTCTTCTGGTTCCTTTGTGGCTGTCACTGCAGGGAACAACAGCTGCCTTCCTGTAACTGTGTTCCCAATAAAAACAGCCTGAGGCATTACTGCAGCCCTGTGTCATGATTTCAGCAGAAATTGCTTAACTATTTCCTACAAAAGCCAGAACAGCCTTCCCTTCCCTTCCCTTCCCTTCCCTTCCCTTCCCTTCCCACCCTGCTGGATGCAACATTCTCACCTGCAGACTCTGTGAGCAGGTCCTTGGAAGAAGTGGATTCCTCTGATGGACTGGACCCTTCTGAGGACAGCAGCAGTGAAGGGGGAAGAACTCCCCCATAATGAGCAAGGGTTTGGGAAGCCACGTGGATGTTCCCTTTAAAGACCTTTAAAGCTTGCTCTGCCGACTCACGGCTGAAACCCATGTACGTCAGCTGCAGGGGGGGAAAGGATAAAAATTAATAAATAATAATAATAAAATAATAAAAAATCTGGGGAAATCTAAGCTCTTCTGACACCAGGGTCTGACAGGAATCTGACTCTGCCTCTGACAGTCATCCTCTCACACAGAGAAAAGCACTGCATGCCAGGAATTCCAGGACACTGACTCTGGTTTACTGGAACAGTTAACAACAGGGCAGTGACCTACTAAAGGCATGAGGATGTTGAACAGGATCAAGAGCCTCTTGTCTAGTACCAGACCAATTCTCTTTCTGTTTTCAAAATGAAACTTCAAAGCACTCCAGTGTACCAGGGGGGTGCATGTGTTTTTCTGAGGCAATACAGTTTTCTTGCCTGTCATCAATTACACAGCCACTCTAACTACTGACGAGCTTGTCAGACAACCTGTCACGAGAAATACACATTCCAACTCTTTCCCTTGTGCACTGCAGAGTTTAGAGACTTGAACAGATTTCTCATTTGCTGTCTTTTTTGGGACAGAGCATTACAGTGCACACAACTTCCCTCCATATGCATGCATGGCAGGTTGGTGCACTGGGCAGGAAGTACACACAAATTACATGTTAGCCCAAGGGACTGCACCATGAAGAGTGAGTGGATGCCAGACCCTGGAGTGTGACAGCCTGAGTGAACATGGGTCCAAGAACACTTGTACAGCTTTACTTCAGGAAAATCTGCTGTTCTTGCAAGCACAACTCAGAAACAAGACAACCAAGTCACAAGAAAGCAAGTGGTCTAGCTTACTTGCTCAATATTTTCTTGGGAAACCTGAAACTGGTCCATGGCCACAGAATCATCATCATCATCTTCCAAGAGTAACTCAGGATTGTCAAGAATAAACTGTAGGAAAACAGAGAGAGATCAAAATAGAGGAACAGAGCTACAACAGTCCTCAACACGGTTGTGTATGCAGCCCAGTGGTTGATATAAGCAAACCTCAGCCAAGTTAAGTGACATCTGATTTATTGGGTCAGGAAGTGCAAGTTCAGTCATTACAGCTCAGAAAAGGTAGCTATGAACTAAAAAGTACAGACTACAGAAAATAGGAATCTGCTAAACAATACAAAAAAAACCCAACAACCAACCAAATTTCTTTTGTACAATGCTACAGAAAAAAAAGTGTACAGAGAAATCACTTACCTTAAAGGCTTGGTCTAGGTTTCCTCGTGTCTTTTGAAGAGCTATCTGAGCAGCTCTCTCTGAGTAGCCCATACTTTTCAGGGTATTGATGTCCTCCAGTCGCCGCCGCCTTTTAGCTCTCTCCTCCCTTCTGATCTGTGCCTTTTCCTGCAAGAGCACAGACACTGCAAAGCTCACTGTGCATGGGAATGCTTTAACACATACCCTGTGCATGTAGGGTTTCTTGGATTTTTTTACTTCAAGTTTGAATCTCTTGACAAAAAGGCTTTTTTTTTTTTTTTGTAAATACAGACTGTGCTGCCAGACACTCGTTGCTAAATAAAGCTGCATTTCCATGAGCCAGCCCTGTCGCCACACTTCCGCTCTGCAGATCAGATCTGGTGCCATCACAGCTATTCCAGGCCCTGTGTGGTAAGTGACAAACCCATTTGGCAGATGGGCCCACAGACAAGACTTGCCAAGGACAGACAGTCAGAACTGGGCAGGGAGCCAGGGAGTTCTGTTCAGTCTTCCCTCAGCCAGTTGGCTTTTCTGTCCACACTTCACTGTCTGAAGTCTAGAAGTGCCTCCTCAGCTTACCAAACATCACTTCAGATCTGGACAGCACTGTCTTCACTCACTCTAGCACAAAAAAATCTTTTCCCTCCTGGATCTTCCAAGTACAAACCCACAATAGGGGGCAGCCAAGCCAGGGAGTGACAGCTTGGTCCTGGTGCTTTATTCCCGTATCACTGCTGAGTAGCAAACACTGGTGCAAAACCTTTCCATGTGCCTCTGTAGTACAACCACAGGTCTTTGGCACTCTTGTCCCATCTGTTTTGAGACAGAGCTTCCCCTGTTAGTGCATTAAGTTTTGGTTTCAAACTTGTGCCAACTCATCCAACTGTCAGCTACACCAAGAGTGCCAGAGCAGGATAATCCAAGTCCTTAACTCAGCACCACCCTGCCCTGGCCACACAACTCATGGACACCTCAACTCAGATCCGTGGTTTAACGCTTTCACTGCCCTTACCTCTCTCCTGTTGGTGATTAGATTGGCAGCATGCTCCACATTCCCATGGCACGCTCGCAGGGCAAGGCGAGCTTCCTGCTCCGAGAACCCCAGGAGTGACAGGCGATCCACTTTGTCAGGATCTATGGACAGCTCTCCGTACAAAGAGGATGCCTGGATATGGGAAGAACAAAATGACACA